GAAGAACCAGAATGCTTATTAAATACCAGGGAGTTGTTTCATTAGGCCACATCCCTCTGAAAAGCGTAAGCAGAGAAAAATTGAAAACAAATCATTTGTGTGACTGCAATTCATGTGCATAGCTAACCTGGTGGCCGAAACTGGTGCCTCAGCTTTCTCACTATGGAGAACCTGACCTGTGATTTCCACACTTGTTCATCTACGAATGTGCATGTGTGTGAGAGAGAAAAGGGTGTGTGTGTATGGGGGTGGGGAATCCCTGTAACTTGTGCTAAACTAAAATAAGAATCAATGCTGCAACCACAGAGCCAATGGCTTTGCTGGTCCCTCAATTTAACATCTTAGCTTTCCCTAAGCTAAGGGGGTTGGGGAACTGACCATATTTGAGAAACCGCCTCTGTACAGCTTGTAAGTAGGACTGCCATAGACCTGACTCTGAGGCCAAGGAAAACGTATTTTCACTTCAACTTCTCTCCTGCCACTCACAGTTAAAATGATCTTTCCTTTGTAAACAGTCTTTAGAACACCTATATTGGCAATTACTGTGTAATTCTAGTATTTGCACTAGGGTATACTAATTACTTAATTTATTCATGATTATCAGTTTCAACACACTAGAAAATGTGAATGCCACTTGACTGATGTGATTCTTAACTTCTAAGGCTGAGAACATTCCCAGGATTTTAAAGGAAGAGATCATGTTTTGTGGCCTGTGCATGGCAAATGCCAATTACAGTCACACATAGGAATAAGCAGGAGGTGATGATGACGACAACAGAATAGTCTCTAATAAAAGCAACTATCCCACAGCTGCACTTCTTTGGGGGGACTTACAACCATCTGAGCTCAACTTTAGAGCTTCAGCACATGGACGCACTATAGTTTGTTGTTTGCTCTGCTACTGTCTCTGGAATCCAACAGTTGATACAGCACCCATCCAATCATAGAAAATTAAACAAAATGCATGTTGTCAAATATGAAGATGATGCCAGTACTCATTTCATGGGATTTCGGTGCTGACCAGTGCTTTCTTAGGGTCAAAGCCCTTGGAGCAATGCCCAGTTCTAAGTGACTAGGGTGCCATAGTTGTAGTTATTAGGGTGATGATTGAGATCCTCTTCGATGCCCCTCCCTCTGGTGCTTGCAATGTCTTACAAGACGGAGCTATTAAGCAACTGATGGGAAGACAGATGCAATGATGGAAATTGACAAACTGGAACAACAGGAAGAGTCAGTGCTGAAGACAGGAAGTTGAGTCAGAAGGAAGCTGAGGAAAACCACAGGGAAGCCATCTGGAAACAAGGTGGCTCCAGCAGCTGGAGCAAGATTCCCCTAGGAGACGGATATCTAGTCAGGAGGCAACTTCTCACCACTTCAGCGAGCCACTGTTTTGATGTCAGAAGGTCATTGTCATCTAGCAAAACAGGGACGCTTGAAACTCACCAAGCCAGCTGACAGATTATTTATGAACTTTGATGGGCTCTAACTTCAATTTTTATTTTTTCGTTAGTTAGCACACAAACTGAATAACGTCATTTCACTGGGTGTTTGTGAACTGGGAACCATCCAACCACCCCCAAGTAACAATCCTAGGGAGATTAATCTAAACAATGTCATTCTGCTGTATCATCTGTCATTAGTCTAGTCATAAAGTCCAATGACTTTACAATCTGACCTTAAAACTTTTAGCTCTTCTCAAACATGTGCAAAAGAAAAAAAAAACAAAACAGGAAATTCCTTAATTTTTATCTTACATGGCCTTAATGAGATTTTATCACTCTCTCCTCTGCGCTCCTTAGGTAAAAGAGAAAAGGTGAAGTGAGAATTTTCTAAGAATAATACGGACTGACTGAATAAAGTTCCTGGGATGTATCTTTGTCTTCATTGTCATAAACAAGACCTACCTTGGGAATATAGTTGTGTAAGGATAGCTGATAATACTTCTATGACTGTATTTAAAATAAAACGACCTACTGCTGTCGTTTATTTCTGAAGGCTAAGGTCATTGTATAATTCCCGAGTTTCTTGAAGTCAATGTCCATTTGGTACTGAAGAGTCAGACTTTGGAAAAGATGCAGGATGGCAGCTATGATGCAGTAATTACTGCTGCATCTTCCTGCATAGCAGGCACCACAAGAACTCAACAAGTCCTAAACTAGGAAGTGAAATTAGAGATTTTCATGTTCTGTAACAAATTCATTTAAAAACAAAAACCAAAAACCAAACATGTGTGACAAATGTTCATTTCAATCAGTATCATCAGCAGCTGTGTGTGCCAGGAGAGGCAGAGAAGGAACTGGGCTCTGTGAGTGTGGCCGGACAGAAAAGAAAAGAAAAAGATGCAGTCAATGTTATACTGACCCTAAGGCAAAGCATTAGGCAAACGTCAGGCCCAACAGTGGAGGAAGCAGCAGACAGGGAAACCTGCAGAAGACCTGGTTTTTCAAGTGGCCCTAGAAAAAAAGTCAGAAGAGGTACAGAGAAGAAACAGAGTGAAAAGGAGTGAAACGGCATGGGACTTCCTGGTGGCTTGCGGTCTAGTGCATGCAGAATGTGGGTAGGCAAGACGGGGAGGGGGAGGGTTCGAGTTGGAGGAAGTGGCATGAAAGAAGGCTGAGGAAGTGGGCTAAGGCAAATTCGTGAAGGTACAAAAATTCTTAGTAAAACTGTTAATGAATCATCCCACTGTTACATGAAGTCTGCCAAGGGGTGTCTTGAAAATTCTCTCTCTCCTCTCTCTCTCTCTCTCTCTCTCTCTCTCTCT